TAAAAAGGGGAACAACCGAAAGGTGGAGATCAGCCATATAGTGAAGGTAATTTTGAATTTCGCTCCAAAATTCCGGCCGCCCGTGACGTCACCGATCACGTCTTCGCGCATGTGCAGTAGCTCCCACTGAAGCCGCATCTGCCCGAATAGGCTGCCCTCACGCTGAGGCTGCACAACGGAACGGAGGGAGAGCCGACAACCACCGCAGGTATCTGCCCCATGAATGGGTCTCAGGGGGGGGATACACACAACTTGCTGCCCCCAGAAAGCCTGCTATACACAGGTCCCGGTGCCCATACGTACCGCACACCACCACAGGCGGACACCCTTGCTCGGGGCTGGATCATGAGGGCTTCCCAGGGGAGAGAGGCTGAACTCCCCTGGGGCCAAAGCACCATAATATTTCCTAAACAAATAAGAACCTCCTGCCCTAGGGGGACAGGAACAAAAAAGACTGGAGTACTATGGAATAGGAGGGGCTTATATGGGCTGAGGGTAGTACATGGTAACTCTTTTTGTTCCTGTCAACTAGGGGTAGAAGGAGTATAACCCAATTTTCAGCGCTGCCATGGATATGGCCAGGAAACTAAAGTTATTTTCAGTGTCGGCACTTTGAGATAAATTGATTTTGCGTCGCAGTTTGGCTACTCGGGTTCAAAAACATTCGCAATCACAATCCTAGTCTGACTGCGGCGCAGACGAGTGCCCAGAGGTAGCGGGGGAAGGGCTGTATATACAGGGAGGGCAGACCTACTGCCCCTGTTGCTGCACGAGGGCTCGAGGCTGGGGGACCCACTGAGATCTGGTCCCGGGCCCCCCATTAAAAAAAATGATGCCCGAATCTGCTCCTGGTGATAACTTTTTGGTTTTTAAAGTTTATTGGCACTGGTAAGGAAATGTATCATGTGGCAGATTGGGTTCATGCAAAAATCTGGTTGTTGGGGCGACTGTTGACTTTTCTTATTTTTTAGATTTTACAGCCTGTGTATTTTGATGTTGTGTTATGTTTTATGCGTATCTGCTGTATACTAGTCAGATGATATGGTGTGCTGTGGTTTGTAATAGACGTGCAGGGCAAACAAATTTGGTTCAGACGAAACAAATGAAAATGGAAAAACATTTTTATTTATTTCGTCAAAGGAAACATTTTAATGCTGTTTTGGATTCAGAGGCAATGAGCCTCCAAATCCGAAACCGCACAAAGAAATTGAAGATCTATCGGCCGCTAGCGTGTTCTGCACATCCCACCATTTTGGAGTATATCTTGGTATACACCAAGATGGCGGAACCTAAACATGTGGGCGCTGCCATCTTGGTGTATACCGGAGTCCAGCGCGTCACTAAGCCCAGAGTCCAATTCATATACTGTTCTGCATTGCTGTATAAATGTATTGCTGGGATTTGTGGTCCCCCTACAAGCGGTGCCATTCTGCTTTAGAGTTTAAGCTCCTCTGTACAGAGACTGATGTGACTGTGGGGGGACATTAGAGTGTAAGCTCCTCTGTACAGAGACTGTGATGTGACTGGCTCAGTGTTCTCTGTACAGCACTGCAGTATATGTCAGAGCTATATACATGTATAATAATAGTGTGTGACTGTGGGAGGACCATTAGAGTGTCAGCTCCTCTGTACAGAGACTGATGTGACTGGCTCAGTGCGGTGGGGTGTGGTGGTGCGGAGGGGGGGCCCAGACCAAAAGCTGTATAAGGGGCCCCAAAATTTCTGATGGCTGCCCTGAACACAGAGAACGTATTGGTTTACTGTACTGTATGATATAGTGTATGAGTGGAGGGTTTCAGGTTCATAGTTTAGCGCCCTATATTTGTGGTGTTTTGGATATCTTCAAAATTTTTATACAACAGCTGGTAGTAGTTTATGCATTTTAGGGTAAGTGCAGAAATCTGGCATAGTATTTGACCCTTCTCCAGCGCCGCCGATAGGGGATACAGCTTGCCCTTCTGTACCAGGTTCAGGCCCCATCGGGTCAGCAGGGGGACCAGGGCTCAGCTTGGAAACAGGCAGCAGAGCTGCCGCCTACAGTTGCTAACACTGTTCTGGAGCCAGCTGCATGCTCCAATCTCTGTCCCCTCCGATCCCCACTGCTCTACCCTGCCTATATCAGCAGGGATTGGAAGGGAGACAGCTCTCCGCAGCCGCTGCACAGCAGGGAGGACCTGCTGTCAAGGTGCCCATACACTGCACGATTATCGTACGATAATCGTATGCGATCGGTTTTTCGTACGATAATCGAGCAGTGTGAACGGAGACGTGCGACCGTTTCTACTGTACGGTCGCACGTCTTCTGTCGAACCAGCATGTTCGAAAACCAGCCGGGAATCGTACGATTCTCGGCTGGTTAGAACGGTGCTCGGAAGACAAATGCCGAACGGGCTGGTGTGCGCACACTGCCCGTTCAGCATTGCGGTCATCGGGGGGCGGGCTTGCGATGATCGAGAGTGCGATCTGCCTGTCCAAGATAGGCAGATCGTACGGTTTTTTAATCCCTGTACAACCATCGCAAGACTATGGTCTTGCGATGGTTGTAGAGTGTATGGCCACCTTCAGGAGGCAGAGCAGGGCCATGAGCTCGTGACAGGCAGGAGGGGACATGGCAGCCAGGATTTAGAGCAGATGATCAGTCAATACGTGAAATATTTACCTATCCTTCCCTGTACAGAACAAACACTGAATGATCAGTACTCATTGCTCTGTGTTTGTAAATAACTGAGGACATGGTGATTACTATGCCCCCAGTTATGAAGGAACAGGAAGTGCTCTAATCATCACTTACTATGTGCTCAGTTTATGAATGAACAGGCGCACTCAAGTAGAGGCTTCCTGTCCATTCATAACTGGGGAGAGACTATGCCTCCTCAGTTTGTGAATGAACAGGAAGCCTCTGTACTGAGTGCTTCCTGTTCATTCAGTGCTGGGGCTGCACAAAAGGTGATTGAGGACTGTGTCCACAATCTCCTTTTCAAAATGGAAATAACGGGTCTGTTTACATCCCTAAATGTTTCCCAAAAGGCAGCCGTAATAGAAGTTAAAACAAATTACACCCGAACACAAAATACATGTGCAACTGTGTTCACCATATTGCGGCATACATTATGCACATGCACTGCATAGTTAGAATACATGGGTATGCTTGATTTTTTTACTTAAAAATTTCAACTGCGTGGCAGCACATTCCAACATCTCAAATAGCACACAAATGCCACTGCAGATCAGGTGTTATCACAACACAGAATTTTAACACAAGTTGCTTTTTTTTTTACAGTTCTGCATTCCATTTTTTTTACCATTTTGCAAAAAGGCAATTTACAAATAGTTAACTCATTACAGTTTTATCTTTTAGATTTAGTAGGAATCTTGTAAACTATGGGGATTTGTGTGCTAATGATTAGTGTATTTTGATAAACATTTAAGCAACTATAGTGGGACTTAGGAGCCCCAATTCTACTGAACCTGGGCCTTCAGAACATGTATGGTTTGGGGATTTTACAAACTATAAGCAGCAGTTGAAAAATAAAAAGTGAAAATATGCAAAATTGCTCATATATTTGTGTACACTCTGTATTAAATCTCAGTATAAATACCTTAAGGGATTGCGTGATCGCAAAGCTCCAGCAAGTGTCTCCTTCTGCGCCCCTGGTGGGCATTAATTCTTTCTAGCGCACCACTGCTTGGTGGAGCTTTGCGATCACATGACCTTGCAAGAAAACAAAAAAAACAAACCCACAATCGGTATGTACATTGCGATTCAGTACAGTGTGGCAAATATAAGAGCAGTGGGGAGGATGCATATAAAAATGGGTTATTGCATAGTCTTGCCTTCTATTGAGATGTATTGGAGTCACCACCTGACATCCAAGCACATGTCTGCATTGACATTAGGGTCTGTTCACACTATGGCGTTGTGGTAAAACACATTACATGCATTGGTGCGATGTCATGCCATTCATTCTGAATGGCACCCCAATGCACTTTTGAGATCGATATGTGCTGCTATGCCAAAGAATGGTGCATTTTTTGTAGCAAACCACAATGCATGGCGTCTCAAGCTGCCAGTCAGAATTAATGGCACCACATTACACCAATTAATGTATTGTTGTGGGCTCTATGCGGTCTCATGATTACCAACAGCGTCCTTGCCCTTCTCAAATGACTACTAAAGTAAAAGGGGGATCTTCTCCACCTCCAAATCCAAGGAAGATCTCCAATGAGCACAAATATAATCAGGCTTTTTCCGACAAAGCATCAATGTAAGAGGGCCTTATTCCAGTGACCAGTAATGCAAGAGGGACATTTTTTTTTTTTTTACTAAGCATCAGCGGGTCTTACGGTCTAGATGGATGAGCTCACGAAAGACTTCACTTTTAAAAGTGAAACTGCTCAGTTGCCATTGGTGCCAGTGTAATAAGCAGTAAATAAGTATTTGCTGCCCATTACTCTGGCACCACGGGTAACTGAGACAGCAATTATATACATGTACAGAATATAGAAAAGCCTTTCTTGGGTTTAAAGTGATTTGGCCTCTCCGCCCGCCGTCCCCCCACCCAATTTGGTTTGTCTCTCCTTCTGTGGCCGGCCTATCCTGTTACCTGTCCATTTTAGGACTGAATTACTAGAAACCAGAGACCCTGTAACACAAAATAGCTTCACTGACCACCAATGTAAAAAGGTGGTTCTGCCACTGAATTCCAAGGTAAGGGGCCTTCTTCACCAAGCACCAATTTACAGGGCTCACTTTCCCACTAAGCAATAACTCAAAAGCGGCTTTTTTCCCTGCTTCAGTGACCACCACCGTCGAGTACCAATGATCAGCAATGTAAGGGGTACTTCCACTGATTTCCAATATAAGGGGGCCATTCTTCACTGGCCAAGATGTTCAGAGGCTTTTCCTCAAGTACCAAGCAAAGGGGTTCTATATATTAAAAAAAAAAAACAAAAAAAAAAAAACAAAAAAAAAAAAACACAACCTAGTAATGACAAACTGCTTTAAATGCTAAAAGACTTTATTGGAAACTTGCTGACAAGCATAGCAACAGCTGCATAATAGGATCACAGAAGGTATAAGGGCCTCAGGGAAAAGCCCCTTGGCTTACATGATGTAATATTTCCACACCGATAAAGGGGAATGTAGATGCAGAATAGAGTTGGTATCCTCATGGGTGGGACACAGATTAGCTGCTCTCTTCCAAGCTATGCTTGTCAAACAGGTACTCGCCCATGCCGTTCTGGGGCACCCCAAGGCGCTTCAGATTGGTGATATAATCTCCAAGACGCTTAATAGACTTCACTTGTTCCTCCAGATATTCAGATTCCAAGAAGTCACACAGCTAGAAGACAAAACAGTGCTGATTAAATGTCTGTTAAGTCCTAGGTTTCACTAATTCAGGCACGCAGACTTGAAGGAAACCAAGGTTGAACACATACATAGAATAGATGAAATTATAACAAGGAAAAAAAAAAAAAAAAAAAAAAAAAAAAAAAAAAAAAAAAAAAAAAAAAAAAAAAAAAAAAAGGAGCTGAAGTACAAGAAGAAAGAACTTTACATTGATTACATCAAATAACAGCATTAAAAAAAAAACAACAACTTTCCAACTCATGTATTGTATACACACACACTAATAAATCTATATTGCCCATCCCAACCAATCAAAACCTAGCTATTATTTTTCTAACAAATATTACAGATAAATTATCTCACTGGTTTACTATGGGCAGGTTTACTATGGGCAGGTTTACTATGGGCAGGTTTACTATGGGCAGGTTTACTATGGGCAGGTTTACTATGGGCAGGTTTACTATGGGCAATCTATTAACTGCTACTGTGGTCATTAAACACAGGCTGAACATCTTTGTCAGTTGTACTGAATGTACCAGGAAGTCTTCAGAGCAGGTAAACATGATCTGCCAACCTAGCACAATGGAGACAGCCATTGACACAATGGAGACAGCCATTGACACTGACCGAGTCAGTGTCTTGTGCCAGCATGATGTGACTAATTTTAATAGAGCTGTATTTCATCAAAATGAAAATCAGGAACAATTAGTCAAGCACCCTTTAAATGCCAACGATACAAGTGTGCAGAGCCAAAGGCATTGGCTCAGTTCACTTTTAATGTTTTGGGGCTGCCTATTGTCATCTTTTGATTCTCCTGCATCCAATGCAGTGTGAAGACATCTTAATGGGAAAATATAGCATGTTTGGCAGGAATGGTCAGTAACATAGCATGGTCTAATCATTCAAGATTTAGTCAGTTGAACAGATAATTACATGAGGGTCAACTTTGTCAGTGGCCAGCTTGTGCAGGTCCAGAAGAGCATGGTTCACAGTCTTCTCCAGCTGCAAAGCAGCCTGCATGGCATCCAGGGTGTTACCCCACTCATCACGCTCTGGTTTCTGAGGGGAAAAAACAAATACAAATATAGGCATAAGTAGTAATGTCACGAGTATAAAAATACAAGTTTGCATGAATTGCTGACATGACAATATACAGAAACAGTATAAAAAAAAGGATCTTGTTCATTAAAAAGCAGTCTGAGCTCCAGTCAAGCGACTGCTAATAGGTTGAAAGCAAACCAAAGTGAGAGGTACCAAGAAAATTGATCTGCGTGAGACGTGTCATAAGGACATAAAGGAACAAGCATCAGGATTTACATGGCTGTGTCATCTTTAGGACAGCATCATAACCCTGGTGGACCAGGTATCCAATGTTATCAGTAGTATCAGATACTGTTCAGTAAGCTTAGCTTTTGATGAGGACCTTTTTTTTTTAAACTAACATTTTAAACTAACGTTAGCATGGAGACTTTTATTGCAGAAGATACTCTGGGCACACCTGGGCGTTTTTCAGCGTTGAAAAACGCTCAAAACAGTGAAATCTCATACTTTCCTATGGGGATGGTTCCCACCTGGGCGTATTTCAGCCCGTGGTAACACGCTGAAAAAAATCCCTACGCCCAAACAAGTACAGGAGCTGCTTTGGGGCGTTTTTCCACGCGTATCCATTGGTATTGCAGAGTGTGGCTACAAAGCGGTAAACCCGAGCCACACTCGGAATACAGCGTAGGACTTACCTTGTCCGCGATCCCCGCTGTGTCCTCCGGCCTGCTGCCGACTCCCGGGTTTCGCCCCTTGCGAGCAGTCGCGTCGCGGGGGGGGGGAACCGGCGGGAAGTTTGAAAGTTAAAAAAAAAAAAAAAAAAAAAACCCCGAAAAGATAGAAAATAAAAGAAAAAAAAATTCATACCGCCAGGAGGTATAAAAACGAGCATCGAACGCACATTCACTGAACAGAAAAACGAGCAGAAAAACGCGCCCATGGTACGCCCAGGTGTCAACCCGGCCTTAAGCTACAGACTGTTCTTACCTTGATGTCCTGCAGGAAAATGCGACCCCCACGTTTGTTCTGATATTTCATGAATTTCTCAGCATGCTCCCTCTCCTCATGACTCTGCTCCTTGAAAAACTCATAAACATGGTGCAGGGCAACATCATCGCGGTCAAAAAAGAAAGCCTGGAAAAGAGAGGTGGATGTTGGTGTAAAAAAAAAAAAAATGAAGTCAAAGCTGATTGATTAGGTTTTCATAAATCTGTAAAGCAGAGTCCATACTTCAAGTGCTTGTTTATAATGAAATGCTTCCAGTGGAGTGCATGCAAAACATAGGGCAGCACAGTGGTTAACATGTCTGCCTTGCAGCACTGGGGTCCCAGGTTACAATCCCCAGCCAGGTCACCATCTGCAAGGTGTTTGAGTTTCCTCCCACACTCCAAAGACATGGTGGTAGGTTAATTGGCTCCTGTATGTATGCAGGACAGATAGGGACCTTAGATTGTAAGCTCCTTGAGGGCAGGGACTGATGTGAATGTGCAGTATGTAAAGCGCCGTGTAAAATGGTCTGTGCTATACAAATACATTTCCTGAAGACTGTGCAGGGATAATTCCATTCCGAGGACACACAATTTCCATCCCAAAGTCCTGGGATGGAAAAGGTGAATACATTTTTGCACACATTATATAGGCACGATATACCCCTACCACGCCCCGGTAACATGGGCCATTAAGTTCTGATGTTTTATTCCACCACTACCTTCATAATTTGATCTGGTAAATACAATAACTTAGAAGTGAGATGGAAAGTTTATTAATATTGTGATGGTTAAAATCACCTTTATTTATACAGCCGACCAAAACTTGGAGAAAGGAGGGACCTTCATTGCTGAAGTGTATGTTAAGGTGCTTGAGTTTAAAAGCAGTGTAGAAATGAATGTGTTTGTGCCAATGCTGTGAAACTCCAGTCAGAACACCCTGCACCATCATACATGACGACACTTATGAAACAGATGCATGAAAACTACAAGAAAATTGCACCAAAGCAGCCAGAGGCCATTTTTGATTGCCTCAGTGCTTGATGAAAGAACACCCACTTGGTTGCTCTGGGAAAATGCATTTTCCTTCATTTACGCTGATGCATTGTGATTTTCATGGGTTTAGATTTTATCTCTATACTGAAAAGGAAGACTTGTATGTCTGCCTCACCACAGTTTAGGATTCATTATTGGTAGAAGGAACCAACTTGTCATGTGGAGTGCAGTAAAGGGAAACCCAGACATCCTTATTCCTTGTCATTTGCCCTGAATAAAGCAGTTTGTAGAATATATGTGCTCAGTTTTTTTTCCCCAGAACATGAATACATTTAACAAATACACACAGCAACACAGTATAAGAGTTCTGGTGATTTAAAGAGCCTACTAATCGTGAAGCAGTAAAGTGCTGTCTAGGACTGTTGGGGTTGTTTTTAGTGCCGTACTTACTGTACAATGGCAAAATAAGAGTAGATTAATATTTGTATCAAGACACTGTACACTTAGTGTCTCACCACCATTTTTGGACTACAATAATATTTAAGGACCACTTACATGTAGTTTATTTAAAAACTCCTAAAATGCATTAAGGGTCAGGGCAAATGCTACACAAAAACTACTTCCTTGATACAAAACATCCTTGCTCTACCTGTGTTTTGCTTGCCCACCTTAAATAGTGGGTAAAGAACTTAATCAGGACATGTTATAAAAATAGAACTTTTAGGTGTATTCAGTCTCTAATATAGTGGGGTTCTAGTGCTGTTTCTATGCCTATTAGAGAGCTTTTTATAATCTTGGAGAGGTATTGAAAGCAAGGGGAAAAAAAATATTTACACAATAGTGTGAAAAATCTCTAGATTTCAGTATTAAAGTTGAACTCTGATAAACAAATATTGTCTACATACAAGGGGTATGCATAATCTTACTTGATTTTTGATGTGCTTTATAGATCTGCACAGTAATACAGTGTGCAATATGGCCCTTTGTGCAGGATCGTCTCTGGTACAGACAAGTCACTGCTGCTCCCTCTGCTTTTACAGGGTGATTGGTCTTCTATCCCTCCCTTTCTGGAGTTGGTTTTCTGCAGGCAGCCTATACTGGGAGAACCTGTCTGGCCACACCCAAAGCTCAGTTCACTGCACAGGCTTTATGCAGCACAGGGGTAATATTGTAACTTTTACAGGAGTAATAACAGTTGCAGAAGCATTTAGTGCATACAAAGTGAGTTTGTAGTCTGTTTCTATTGAGGAATATGTTTAAATGGAATAATTTGCCCAGAGTTAAATAGAAAATACAACTTAAGGTTTATATGAAAGGAATATACAAAAGAACAAGTTGTCATCACAGTACTCACCATAGAGCTGTAGGTGTAGGAGGCGTACAGCTCCAAGTTCACCATACGGTTGATGGCAGCCTCACAATCACTGTGGAAGTTCTGGCGCACCTGGGACTCCATTTCAGCGTTTCAGTTGTTTTGGGTGGCGCAAAGAAGTCACAGAAAGTCAGCAATAAGTAGAAGATGTTTAGAAAAGGAGCAAAAGACTCAGAAGAGGGTTCCGTTCAAGCACTGTTGAAGCAAGAACTCTGCTCAGAGTCAGGAGTAGAACTAAACACAACACACCGGAGCTCTGTATTTATGCAGCCAGCCCGGGAGTGTGGGGCTGAACGCCCTCCCTTCACTTACATCATCTACCAGCAGCCAATCAGATTAAGCAGGATGCAGTAGTACAAGGGTGAGCATTTTTGGCCAGGAGAGGAGATTGAAAACAAACCACATTGCACAACATTAACATTTCATGCTACCATTAGCAGGTTTTTTTTTTTATTTGCAGAGGGTTATTGCATAATTGAACAGCATACATAACAAGAAGTGATTGTTCGGATAATATAAACTGTTGTAAAGGTTAATATAATAATAACAACAACAATAATAATATTAGTAGTAGTAATAATAATATTATAGTATGCAATACCATTAGCTAACAGGATTTATACAGGAGCGCGATGTTTCTTCTTCAAGTACACGTTTCAGTTGTATATTGTGTGCTGCAGTAAGGAAAACATGGGTCACATCCCTTATACAGGTTGAATTAGTTAGTAGGTGTTTGGGACAGATTACTAGTCACACATGAATCTATTACTGTAAGTGATTGCTGCAGAGATCGGTGATTGTTGGCGAGTTTAATGTAAGTTGATCTAAATACAGGAGTGAGTGACAACAGTGGGAGCTTTATCAATCCATTCTGTTTAGCTAGCACCAAGAATACTGTGTCGGAACAATTACCTGGTTTTAGAAGCACTGACAGTGTGCGGCAGTGTGATTCTGTGAGTATTTTAGATCGCCGGGCCTGTGAGCAAGGTCACTTTACAAAGTTCTAACAGTTGCAACCCGCAGATGCAGCAGTGCCGTCCGTCCGTTTTTCTCTACTACGGGCGGACGGCAAGAGGTTAAAGCTGTTACGATTTTGCTGACTTTTCGTGCTCCTATGCCAGTCCTTACTTATACAGTAACATGATCAGGAGCACAGCCATAGACAACTCATTCTGATACTGAGTCGCAAGTTCAGAAACGCCGTTGCTGAGGAGGAGCCCCAGGCGCGGGAGGGCAAAATTTTCAAACCTAAGGGCGAAATCTTTGACTCTTTGTGGAGTGAAAGGAATTGGGTGTCAGTTACTTTAGAATGTTGAAAGCGTTTATTGAAGCACAATAACTCAAAGAAATGAGGTCAGGGCACAAGATACCAAAACATAGGCAAAAATGACTTCATGCTTCTCTTCTAGCAACAGTCAGAACAGGCTATAGACCTTAAAAATGGAAAGTTCACCTTTAAAAAAAAATAAATGTACACTTCTTCATAAAAGAAAAAAATGTGCATTCATTAATTTTTTTTGCATAGAAGCTAGTAAAGCATTACAACCAGGTTTAGTAGATCGTGGGTGCAATGCTCTGGCTCCTGCAGACAGTTCCTCCTGTCCTTGCCCGTACCGAGGTATGGACATGCAGTAATATGGATGGGAGACAGAGTTGATGGACTACAAGTGCGGTGAGGTCACTGCACTTGTATTCCATTGAAACTACAAGCCCTTGTGCCGCGATGGCAGACAGGACTTGTAGTTCCTCCTTCCTGTGGATGGATGGCATGGCTGTGTGGGCAGAACCACGCACAGCCGTGCAATTTATAAAAAAGCAGCCTATGGGGAGAAGAACCCTGCAATTCAGGTAAGTTGGGGGGCATATTATTAGAACTTGGCAGCCAGATACAGGCTATCCACGCTTAATAGGCAGAGCGGTTTGGCACTGCCTGCATTTTGGCCACTAAACTAGTTACCACATATTGGTGGCTGCCTGCTGACCATACTATTGCTTCTGTTTTGTTAGAGGCAGCTGCAGGGGCGTAACTAGAAATCACCGGGCCCCATAGCAAAATTTTGAATGGGGCCCTGTGATTTCTAGTTACACCCCTTGAAGAACCCACATAGCTCACCTGAGGGTGACCCTGCAGAGCCCTCACTGCTGACTCTCATTGACTCAGCAGCGGCTATGGAGAAGAACGCAGCGCTGCACAAATCATGGTGATCTGAACAGCGGTGCGGTCGAACCCATAGCGACCCAGGCGGCCCGCACGGCATCAGGGGGTGTCCTGGCCGGGCCCCCCTGTGCCGGGCCCCATAGCGGCCGCCTGGGTCGCTATGGCTATTGTTACGCCACTGGGCAGCTGTCCTTGAGTCCCTGGAAGCACTTCAGCTTAGCACCCCATATTCCCGAACTAAATCCCTGCCTGGGCATAGCCCCATTAGATGGCTAGCCGATTGGGAGGGTACTCGATGCTGATGCGGTAGTACCCCCCATTCATGTGTGCCTTGACAGGTACATGCGTGCACCATTGGCCCGCCCTAGCCGCACACGTCACACGCCGGCATTGTGCGGTGTGATGGTGTGCAGCAGGGATTTAGTTCGGAGAGAGTGGGTTCATGCCGGGGGGTGTTCCGTATGGTGGGGTGGTGTGCTTACCTCAGTCCAGTCCCTGGCCACAATGGTATGTGTACAGCTTAGTAAGATACAATATATTCATATATGTATTAAGTGGCTTTTTCCTTGTTTTTCTAATCTGCCCGATATTTATTGATAGCACTAACAATTGATTTAAATAAGTGGAATAGTTTTCGTCTGCAAAGGCTGGGAGTTGCACCTTGCATTGACAAAAGAGATATGGATACATGTATGTCAATCAATTTATAAGTATCAATAGGGCAGTTGTTTAGATACAATATAAGAGCACTTATCTAATGTGATTATATGGATCACAATAACTTTATATTTCTGTTAGGTATATACTGAGGCTCACTCAAGTCCCCTTTATTTCAGCCACTTATGTGTGTCCTATCCCTCTCTCTGCTCCCTGGAGGTGCGAAGATGTATCTCCCATTGCATCTTTTTTCTTTTGTTTACATAACTATTAGGGGTGTGGTGCTCATAATTCTTTGGTGGTTCAACTTTTTGTATCCTTTTCCTACTCTTTGTCACTGCTACTCATTACAGATTTAAATGAGATCCTAATAGGTTGGACTTGATGGACTAATGTCTTTATTCAACCTCAAATACTATGTAACTATGTAACTATGTATATCTGCAGCTGGCCCACTCCTTCAGTGCTCAGTTCCCTCAACATTGTGTGGAATTGTGTTGCACTTCGCCTGAACATCTACTTTGCTCAAGTTCTCTTCAAAAACCTACCTCAATCTTATACCGATCTGCCTTTTCAGCTACTGCCTTGGAAGTTGCTACTCTTCAACAGAAATCACAACTGGATATTCTAGACCTGGATGTGGACACTTGGATGGAGGTCTGGGACTCACCTTTCAAGCCACTGGTTGCAATCAGGGATAGACTTGTTAAGTTTAAAACTCTGCACTAAGCATAAAGCATACTTTACGCCTTCGTGTTTACATAAACTCAACCCTGCAGTCGCTTCCGCTTGCTGGTGTTGTGGTTTTTCCAAGGGTGACTTTTTTCATATATTTTGGACTTGCCCTAAAATCATAATTTGGAGGCAGCTGGTTAACTACAACTTACCACTGTATCAGGACACATACCAAAATAGAGGGTGTGCAGCCAAATTTCTTACTATCTTGGCAGCGTGGTTAGACCAGCCTTTTACAGCCATGGATTTCACTAATTGATATCCCCCATGCTATGACATCTTGCTTGTGGGGAAGGCTGTTCTATAATAGGGAATTGTTTTGTTTATGTTCTGCTTCCTTGATTTGATAGGCTTGTCATTGGAGGGAAGGGGGGAGGAGGCAGGTCAATATTCTTTATACTTCTTCCTTGTATGCTTTGGAGTGTTTTCTTGCACTTTGTTTTTTTATGGTATGAAGGAAATTCTTTTTTTTCTTTGTGCTGACCCACCTGAATGCTAGGAAACGTAAGCCAACCTTTTTCTATTCCTTTTTGTGGACTGCAGGTTGTTGTACCAGCTGTAATAGGCAGTTTATAAGATGTAGTGTATAATTAATTCTATTGTATCTGTGTTTCACTGTTTTTCCCGGGGCCTCCCTGCATGGTTTGGCCCTGTGTAAATTGTATTGTATTGTCTTCTATTTTTTTTTAAAACCAGCAATAAAAATTTATAAATTTTTAAAACAACTTGTTTGGATAGATAATACCCCTACTTATGTCTATGGAGAGTCTTTTTTTGTCATAGTGGACCAAATAACATTACTCATCAGTCTGCAGTAGTAATATATGGCAAACAGTTATGGGATAAGATCATATAGTGCCCAAGGGAAAATGCGAAAATTGTTCCCTCCCCAGAAGGAGCAGGGGGAGGTGTTAATAGTAGTGCATGCCAAGCCAAAATGTATGTAATGGTTGTGGCATGCCTCATAGAAAACACTACAGTGAACTAAAGAGTTCAGTAGTGGTGCACATTCTGTCCTGCAGTAAAAAAAAAGGGGCTAACAGTGGTGAAAGAAGAAATGCCCCAACATCAGTACAAATAAAAAATGCCCCTGTGTTGGCAGTCTAACTTGAAGGAAAAAAAAGCCCCCATGTCTGTGGTCTCACTAGAAGGAAAAAATGGCCTTCCATTGGCGATGCTACTAAAAGGAAAAAAAAAGCCACTACATTAGTGTCAGTGGAGAAAAAATACCTATACATCGGTGCTAGCGGGAGGAAAAAATGCTCTTACATCCGTAGTTTCAGTCTGAGGAATACTGCTTTGTCATCTGCATCAGTGTGATAAAGGATAATAGATGGCTGTGGAGGGGGGTTCTGTGGGGTGAATTTAACTAAGAGACCCTGGGTGTCTCAAGGGGAGAGAGGGGCGCTAAACGGCTCGAGGGGAGATAGGGTGGCTATTAGGCTCTTTTATGGTTTTGATGGTGAGAGGGAAGCTGTGGGCCTAAGTTGCTCTCCGGCACCCTCCAAACAAACAGTTCAGACCACCTTCTTGCTTGGCAATCGTCTTCTT